ATGGTTTCAAATATTTATATTTAAAATGGTAGCTGAAACTTTCTTTAAAAACCCTGTTCACTTTCAAGAACACCTTAAAGAATAAAAATTCTCCATCTTACCTAATTCAAATTTGACTACTGTCCTGCAAACTATGCTTTGCCCCACATTGAACTACAGATCACATTTTCTAAAGGTCACCATTTTTGCCCTTTGTCCAACTACACAAATAAACTTTTTCTTAAGAAAGAATTTACAAATGATCTGGTATACTTTTTTAAAATATTTATTAAATGTTTTCTTATTTATTTTTGAAAGAGAGAGAAAGAGACAGCACACAGGGAAGGGGGGCGGAGAAAGAGGGGGACAGAGGATCTGAAGCAGGCTCTGGGCTAACAGCAGAGAGCCCGAGGAGGAGCTCTAACTTGTGAACTATGAGACTACAAACTGAGCCAAATTCTGATGCTTAACTGACTGAGCCACCCAGGTGCTCCTGGGGCTATGTTTTGAATGAATTTCCAAGAATATACTATGAAAATTACAAAGAAATTTAACTGTAGAAAGTTCGACAGTTTTCCTTCATAGCTCTTAAGCTGGATACTTTTTATGAATCATGTTTAAACTGATATACTCATAAACAAAGAAGAGGAATTAAATTAGAGGAATCCCCCAGGGGCACTTGTGTGGCTCGGTCAGTCAAGTGGCCGACTCTTGACTTCAGCTCAGGTCATGATGTCATGGTTCATAGGATGGAACCCCATGTCTGGCTCTGCTGACAGTGCAGAGCCTGCTTGGAATTCTTTCTCTCTCTCTATCTCTGTCTCTCTCTCTCTCGCTCGCTCGCTTTATCTCTTTCCCTCTCTCTCTCCAACACTCCCCTACTCACTCACTCACTCTTTCTCTCTCTCTCTCTCTCAAAATAAATAAATAAACATTTAAAAAAAATTAGAATTCACCCAAATGAGAGTTGGATCTAGAGAATGGTGGAATGGAGGGGCACCTGGGTGGCTCAGTCAGTTAAGCATCAGACTTCGGCTCAGGTCATGATCTCATGTTTGTGAGTTCGAGCCCCACATTTGGCTCTGTGCTAACAGCTCAGAGCCTGGAGCCTGCTTCAGATTCTGTCTCCCTCTCTCTGCCCCTCCCCAGCTCACACCTTCTCTCTCTTTCTCTCTCTCTCTCTCTCTCTCTCTCTCTCTCTCCCTCTCTCTCAAAAATACATAAACATTAAAAAAAATTAAAACTATAGAGAATGGTGGAATGGAAATCTGGCCACATACTCAATGGCTACCATCTTTGTTGAACATAAGAAGTAATGGATAACATGGATATATTAAAATAAATACACAGATTTTTACATTTCTGCATGTCTTATCATCATTGCCTTAATTTTTTTGTATTCTGAGATATAACTGATATAATCCAACTCATTAAACATTATAAATAAAAGCAGAATAATGTTTATTTTTCAAAAGATTTGAGATAGTTACACATTGGCTAAAAGCTTAGTCTCATTCCAAATGCAATTACTTCTGCAAGTTTTGAGCTAAATTAGTGCAAATGGTTGTCTGATGGAGGCCCTTAGAAAAGAAAAGCATTTTACTTATAACTAGAGTATACAAAAATACCTAGTATTTCTACAATATATTCAAATAGATGGGGGAGCATTTAAATTTTTCATTGAAATTTCTAAGCATGCTTAAAAATACATCTTGATTAATTAATTTTTATTATTTATACCACAATATGGTATCGTTGTTGTTTGTTTCTGGTTTTGGCAATGAACACAAAAGCCTGATGGTATTTGCCATCCCTTACCGAATTCATCCAGGGTCCTAGCGTGGGAAGAACTTGGTATACAGACACTGATCAGCTCTGCTGAGATCTATCAGCATCAGAGCTCCCATTTATAAGTATAAAGTAAGAACACTTAGGGGCACCTGGGTGGCTGACTTCAGCTCAGGTCATGATCTCACGGTTCGTGAGTTCGAGTTCTGCATCAGGCTCTGTGCTGACAGCGCACAGCCTGGAGCCTGCTTCCGATTCTGTGTCACCCTCTCTCTCTGCCCTTCCCCCTACTCACGCTCTGTCCCTCTCTATCAAAAAATGAATAAACGTTAAAAAAAATTTTTTTTAAAAGAACACTTAAAACCTGAGCTCATCAAAAATAGAGATTCCATGATGGAAATGACCAAGAAAACAGGAAAGGAGAAAGTTGGTGCAGCACTCAGATTGTCTCTCAAACAACCAAAGTCAATTTCTACACATTAATGCCTTATCTCTTCATTGCTCTCCAGTTGGTCCCTACAGATTTAAAATTCATATGGAGTTGCTGCTCCATGTTTCTCAAGGCATGGCCATGGGCACCTGAGAAACCTCACTCTAGTCCCAGCTCCATACCAAACAGCTGGGTAAAAGTGGATGAGTTAGTTCTTAAGTGTGGCCTGGTTTCCATCATGCAAAATGTTAACAAGGTATATGAGTTGATCTTCAAGATCCTATTCATCTTCAGAAATTCTATTTTTAAATTTCCATGTCCTGGCTGAGGACACATACTCCCCCAAAAGACCTAGTACACACACTTATGAGAAAACCAAATTTTCTTTGCAGGAAGCAAAGGGAAGGTATCCAGCTGGAGCCTAAAATGTCTTTAAGTGATGTTGTAGCAAGTATTTGCAGCCAAATTTCAGCAACATGCTGCATATGTATGTTGAAGGGGGAAACAAAACCTTAACTGAATAATACAAAGTGTAATTTCTTCATCATATTTCAATGAATCCTGAGCCTTGGAAGTTTGTGTCAAGATCTGTCATTAGACACTTTATCACTAATATTAGTCTTCCCCACTAATTTGTATTTACCAGGGTCTGAGGCCTTGTTTCTATAATGCTCCTGTCCCTCAGGTGCCGAGGTCCTGAAGGTGAAAATCTTACCAATGCTAAAAGAACTTTTTCATGGGGTTGAATCCAAAGACCATTTGCATTAAAGCTCCATCACCCCACATAGGCTCACCCCCATATGCCTATCTGACACAGATATGCTGAAGATGCTATTTTATGCCCATGCCTCCAAAGGCCCTGGGCTCCTTCCATTTCTTTATCTTATGCCCCAATTTCCCATAGCATAGTAATCATTATCAAAATTCAACACAGTTTACCAAAATTCACTTAGATTACCAATGCAGATGGAACAAATGGAGACAACCACACCATCTGGGAGAGAGGAAAGGAAGTGAGACACAGGAGCTTTATGAAGAAAACAAAGAGAAGGCTGAAGCAACAGGGGACAGGTGGTTCCACCAGGGCAGACGAGGCCAAGAAGGAACAGAGTAGAGCTTTGAGTGTGCCTTCCCCTGCCTTACTTCTTCCAACCTCAAGTACGTGGGCTTTTGGATATTCTCTTGAGCAATACGGTTACTGAAGTGAGAGAGCTGTTCACATTTCAGACAGGCAACTTCCTAATGTCACTAGTCTCTTTTCAAAGCATTAAAATGAATTAATGCCACCTTATAAAAATACGGTGGGGGTGCCTGGGTGGCTCAGTTGGTTAAGCGTCTGACTTTGGTTCCGGTCACGATCTCATGGTTCCTGAGTTCAGGTCCCGCATTGGGCTCTGCGCTGACCATGCGGAGCCTGCTTGGGATTCTCTGTCTCCCTCTCTCTCTGCCCCTCCCTGACTCGCTCTCTATCTGTCTCAAAAATATATAAATAAATAAACATCAAAAAATTTGAAAAATAAATATTGTGCACATCCTGCCAAGGAAAGATAGCCTACTAGGTCCCACATGTGAGAATGTATTTGCACCTGTATTATAGAAAGGGATTTTTAGCTGTGCCACCTGTCAGACAGCTCCACACTCCATCTGTCCCCTAGTCCATGAGGAACCTCACCACAAGACGACTTGGTTCCCAGGCAGTACACCTGAGTTTTGCCCATTGCATGTCCTTCCCCCCTTACCTGAAACAATCATGCTTTACTATTTTCTATTCTGGACAACTTTTAGGATACTGACAATGGGATAGAGAAATGGCACACAGGTGAGCACTTTTGAAAATTTGCACCCCTGCAAAGGATAAACATTCTTCTCCCCTCTGGGACTAAAAGATGGTAACAAAGGTATGTGGTAGAGGGGAGCTGACCTGTGCCCCAATCCCAGCTTAAATGAAGTATTATACAGAACACTTCTGCATATGGGAATTAAAGTCATTTAGCAACAATTAATATATGTTATTTCATATGGTCTTTTTCTCCTAGAAGCATATCTTTGAAATCTAATTAAAATCATCGGGGGAAAATGTGATCCAGTTTCCTGAACATTCATATTATACTCTAGTACATAACCACATAATGGGATCCATATATTTTTTCAAATAAAAATAATTTATGTAACTTCATTTTATTTAATGTTTGTGACTGTGATTTCACAAACTTACTTATCAATGTCTGTATCTTCAGATCTGCAGAGCAAAAATGTACCATCTATAAGTAATAAAGTACTTAAAATGAGCACTTAAAATACACAAACCACCTTCATCCACAACTTTTCTCTGTAAGAAAATTGACATGTTTCTACACACAACGGCTATCTAGCTAAAACGAATCTAGGGTTTTATATATTATATTGTAGAATAGAATATATTCATGAAATATAATATATATTATACAACAGAATATATGAAAAATCGCATATATACTTATAAAAGATAGTGTAACTTAAAAAGAAAATAAATTCATTCATTATTTTCTGCACTCATGCTGGCTATACCAGGAAATATGAGTGCGTATGTCACTCCTACTCAGCAATTTCTTTGTATCTCTGTGTTGAATGCTAGTGTATTTCAGCCAAATATAATTTTCCACTTTGACAAGAATCCTCTTCTTCCTTATCATGCCTTTCTCCTCCAACTGCTCTACCTAATAAAGTTTTCCTAAGCTCTAATGTACCGCAAAAGAAGTATTCAGGTGAGAAGTTTGTCTTATGAGGGAGCTGGCGTCTCATTTTAAAATCACTAATTACCTACCTGTGCCATCGTCCACATTCTCCACTTCCATCACCTCTGTATTGATTCGGCCACGAAAAAGGTACCGATGTCCATCTGTAGATGCCTTGCTATTCTTCAACCGTCTTGTGATGAAATGAAATCACAAAAATTTTGTTACTAAACTTAATAAAAAACAGTATTGAAGCAATAGAACTTAAGCTAGTCTTAAAAAAAAAAAAAAACAGACTTTGATGCAATCAATGACACCAAATGTTAGGCTCTTGGTGTTTGTTTTTTATTTGTGTCCTCCCATTCATAACAGCACTAGTTGCTTTACAAGTTGAAACTTATAGACTAGTGTTTTAAAATAAATGGAAGTTATTGGGGCATCTGGGTGGCTCAGTCAGGTAAGCGTCTGACTCTTGATTTCGGCTCAGGTCACGGTATCATGGTTTGTGAGATCGAGCCCCGCATGGGGCTCTGTGCTAACAGCATGGAGCCTGCTTGGGATTCCTCTCCCTCTCTCCTGCTCGTCCCCCATGCTCTCTCTGTCTCTCTTAAAAAAAAAATTAAATTAAATAATTTAGATAAATGGAAGCTTTGGACTAAGAACAGTATACAGGTAGGTGGGTAAATATATATTTTTGCTCAAGTTAGAAATCAAAGGTACCCAATCAAAGTCTGACACACACTAAAAGTTAGTTATTTTAAAACTTCATCTGATTTATTTCACTTTCATTTCTCATTTTTCAGTAACTAGCTGGTAATTTCCACCTTTTCAAGCTCTGGTAAAATTCGGTTGGTACTTATGATCCCTCTGCAAAGAAACGGACTGTGCTGGGAATTCTTAAATTGAGTGTCATCCAGCTGAAAATATTTTCCCTAGATTGTTTTTATGATATGAGAATTGTATGCTTGTTGAGTCTCTTAATACCCTTATAATCCTTTATAAGGGTCTCATTTCTTCTATTTTAAAAAGAAGTTGAAAACATTCCAAAACTTTGTGTATAGTGTGCCTATTACCAGTCTTTAATGCTAAAAAAGCATGTAATACAAAGGTTTACAGGTGAACATGTATCATATGAATTAAGTGGTTAAGTATGTTTGTAATGGAATCACTGAACATTCAGGAGAGTTGATTTTAAAAACTTTTTTAAATTGTGTTTTAAATTATTAACTAATTTAATTCTTAAAGAGGAAAGATTCTTCAACCTTGAGTGGGGGAGAGGGGCTGAGGGAGGGAGAGAATCTTAAGCAGGCTCCAAGCTCAGCACGGAGCTCAACATGGGACTCGATCCCAGGACCCTGGGCTCATGACCTAAGCTGAAATCAAGAGTTGGACCCTCAACCAACTGAGCCACCCAGGCGCCCCTAAAGAAGAAAGATTCTAAGAAATGATTCAGGAGGATTTAAGAACACCTAGCCACTCAAAAGATTTCAATTAACCTGAACTATTCCATTTGACTCATTGACAAAAGTTTAGCAAATAATTTAATATACTGAAATAATTATTCACTTATTGTGTTATACAGACACGTGGCAAAAGTGGAGATGTAAATGTTTACCAGCTTCAATGTCCCTCTCCTCCTCTCTCCTACAGTTAGAGATCAGTCCTGAAGTGTTGAGAGGTGGTGAAGTGCTGAGAAGTGCTGGGCAGGTGCTGAGAGGGGTCACAAGGTGCTGTCATGGTCTCTGAGTTTCTTCCTTGGAAGAGAGTACATCTTCCTGGCTTATCTGTCTCAACTCTCATTAAAACTTAGTAGTCCTTCACCAGTAGTAAAGAAACCTAACTAAATAGATTAATTAACCTGATATAGGATTTATTAGTCCCAGATCTTCACCATCTTGCACTCCTGTGTTCATTTTGAAAGTGACCTCTGAATGTCCTTTGTGAATAACCTTAAATAAATGCTACAATTTAGGGATTCGGGCCAGGCAGTATGCAAGTTGGCATCAGAGTCAGCCAAGGACAGAGAAGAATGCAGAGCAGACTAATATGCAGGTACCTGAATATTCTCCCAGGTAGGACATAGTATCATGGTGTCTGGTAAAAAAGAATTCCTTGTAAGTTGACACATCATATATTTTTTTAAAAGTTTAATATACTTGGTAACAGTTTTAGTCACAGAGAACCATGGCATGGAATCATTCACTGGGTCGTATTTTCAAAGTATTAATTTTCTTTGTGATACTGCTGTGAACTCTGTACATGTGTCTGTTATTTCTCTTGACCTGCAGATAGTAACACTCAATATGAAATTTCAGTAAGTGTTTGATCAATACTGTAACACTTCACTCAGACAGAGAGATCTTTGGTCCTTTCAGAAGATGGCTCTATTAAAGTACATAGACTGAAAAGCCTAAGGTTTGAAAACAATTTTGTTTTATATTGTAATGTTGACTATTTTGCATATCCCAGTTCTATGATTTCCCTCCTAAGTATGTGTTTTAATGGCCACCAGGATACATGTGCAGGAATGTTCATAATAGCAGAAAAACTAAAACCAACAAAGAAAACAAATAAAAATCTAAAGTCCACTGATAGGAGAATGAATAAGTAACTGCTATTAACTTATTGGGATAATATTCATTCTCCTATCAGTGGCTGAGATCATGACCTGAGCCAAGTCAGATGCTTAACCGACTGAGTCACCCAGGTGCCCCCAAAACTGCAGGCTTTTAATTTTACAAATGTTTCCTGTTGTTTAGCTATTTAACAATAACAGCCATGAGACCATAAATGACATCATCATTATACACTCAAGTCATGATCTCAGGTTTGTAGGTTTGAGTCCCAAGTCAGGCTCTGTGCTGACAGCTCAGAGTCCAGAGCCTGCTTCGGTTTCTGTCTCCCTTTGTCTCTGCCCCTCCCCAGCTCGTGCTCTGTTTCTCTCTGTCTCTCACAAATGCATAAACGTTAAAAATGAAAAAGCCTGTGATTTTTAAGCAAATGTCTTCAATGTGCGTATAATGTGGACAAAAACTTTTGCTAACTGTGCAAAAACTTTGGACTTGAAGGCGGGCATATATATAAGTATGAGATCAACTATAATAAAGAAAAAAGATCTCATTCTCAAATGGATGCCTTTAATAACTGTACCTAGATGGATGTGTTAACTGACTACATGGAGGAAATCCTTTCACGATGTATATCAAATCATAATGCTGTAGAACTAAAATATCCTTCAATTCTATTTGTCAATTATACCTCAGTAAAGCTTGGAAAAAACAACTGCACGTAAACAATTTGAATCACATTACAATTTTTTTTTATGGTTTTTTTTTTTTTTTTTTTTTTTTTTTTTTTTTTTTTTTTTTTTTTGAGACAGAGAGAGACAGAGCATGAGCAGTGGAGGGGCAGAGAGAGAGGGAGACACAGAATCCGAAGCAGGCTCCAGGCTCTGAGCTGTCAGCACAGAGCCCCAGGCGGAGCTTGAACTCAGACTGCGAGATCATGACCTGAGCCAAAGTCGGACGCTTAACCGACTGAGCCACCCAGGCGCCCCATATTACAATTTTTTAATGAGTTACGTACACGTAAAATTAACAGTCTTCCTAAAGCCTACTTCTATTCATCTCAATCTTGCTTCAAAACACAAAGAATTCAGAAAAGCATTCTAAAAAAACCAGACAAGTTTATTTTCATATACAGTAAAAAGAATTTTTTTAAATACTCATTAAGACAGAGATAACGACAATTTAATTATTTTTTAAACAATTTAATTATCCTTTGACTTTAATCCTAAACTGCTCCGTTTCATCAAGGCACATGGGGTAGTTCTATGTTTTCTCAGTTAATGTCATTATATTTCCACATTAATGTCTCATACTAGAGAATTCTGATAGCACAGTCCGAAAGGCAAAACAGCCACGTCATCAATGTAGCTGCCAACTTTTCGCAAACTTACACTGGGCATCCTGTTCATTGACTTAGGGAGTCCCGTTTCAAGAGATAAAGAAGGACATTCCCTTAATCTTGCCTCCGTTGGTTTTGGGTTTCTCACTCTTACTTTACCAGAAAATGTTTGGCTATAATTTCCTAATTTCTGAATCTAGAATAAACACTCACTCAAACCCTGCGTTCTCAACCACCTGCTTTACCTTTAAATTTAGAGAAGCCGCTTAGTACCATTTCACTGAAACTAATGTTAACCTAGATATGGTTATGAAGAAGCATATAAATTTCCCAATTAAATGCAGCCCTACTATTTTGCTTAATCAACCTGTAAAAATTTTTGCCAAGAGTCAAGAAAACATCCTATAAATTAAGCACCTTCTGAAGAAAAATTATATCCATGCTTTAAAACAAGTAGCATTACATCAATAACAAGGATACATAAAATTATTTAAGCTAATGGTGGCTAAGCTATACCAGGGACTTGGCTGGGTTTCGTTCATTCGTTTATTCACTTATTTAAGAACTACTTCTTGATTGTCTATTACATGGCAGGTCCAGCCTCTGAGGAAAGCAGAGACTAAGCAGCAAGACAGCTGTTCTCAAGGACTTTACAGTCTAATCTAGTGAAGGTGGCACCAAATAAATAAATAATGAAGAAAACACTAGCAAGAACTTTCTTGATAGAGAATGGCTGGGAGGCTACAGTGGATGGGGTGGTCAGAGAAGATATTTCTGAAAGAGATACTTAAGTGAGATCTAAAAGACATGAAGAATCTAGCCAAACAAAACTCAGACGGAAAAGCATCCTGGGAAGAAACAGGCAGGGCAAATGCCCTAAGAAGGAAATGCAAATGGTATAATCAAGGAACAGGAAAAAAAGACATGGGGTGAGATGAGGTCAGAGAAGTAGGGAGGGGCTGGGTCATGCAGAAATCTGCAAGCCAGGATAAGGAGTTGCGATTGTATTCCGGGAAGCCAATGATAGCTTCAAGATAGGTAATAATGTGCTTTCATTTGCGTTACAAAGGTTGCTCTGGTTTCTGTATAGAGCCTAAACTTTAGAGCAGTAAATGAGGACCTGGTGGGACCAGCCACTGTTAGCCAGGGAGGAGATGCTGGTTGACTGGACTAGGATAGATGGAGAGATGTGGGGGGAGGTTTTCATATGTTTTAAATGCAGAATCGGTAAGATTCCCTAATGGATTACATTTGGGAGGTTGAGGAAAAGAGAGGAACCAAGGTTAACTCCTAGCTTTTGAAGTTAGGGAAACCAGTGGATGGGGAAAATTGGGGGAGGAGCACCATTAAGAGAAGAAATCAGGAATTCTATTCCTTCCATGTTGAAAATCTTCACAACCATCACAAGTGAGATACCAAATAGGTAGGAAGGATCAGTCTATAATTCTGGGCTAGAGATTTCTGAGCAAGTCACGTGGAGGTGGGTGGGACAGGAAGCCACAGGATTGAATCAAATCACTAAGGCAGAGTTGATAAATATGATAGAGCAAAGGGAGTGGAAAGCAGAAGCACGCAGCAGGCCAATATTTGACCAATAGAGTGTGATGTTACAAAAGGAAAGAGAAGAAAGCGTTTTAAGAAGGAGGAAGGGCTCATCTACTTCTTCTGCCAGAGGAAACACATAAAACAAAGTGACCACGTGATTAGAAAACACAGGGGAATGATGACTTTGACAGGAGCAGCTTAGTGAAGCAGAGTGGGATGCTTAAAATTTGGATTTCAATTTTTATAGCTGTGAGTGTTGACGAAGTAAAGGGATGTCGACAGGACAGGGGCTGCAGGTATAATGAAGGAGAAAATCATTGCAGGTGAAGAGACTATGGGATTTACTGAGGAGATCCTGAGTTCCCAGGAGCACTGAGGAAAAGGTTGAGGCTATGAGACGGATAAATAATTTCTGAACTAGTACTTGTTTATCCCCTTACCTGTGTTTTCTTTTGCAATACACCAAAAGATTATCGAAAAGAAAAAACACCCGTTCTTGAATATTTCCAGAAGAGATTTTCAGTAAGACTCCACACATTAGCATTTCAGTGCAGGTATCGGTAATGTTGGATCCCTAGGTCAGAAAAAAATGCAGAGAAAGCCTGATTATTTAATAGAAATTCTGTGTGTAATTCTTTTTTTCCCTAAAAGTCTGTTTTTATTTTAAGATACAATATATAGACAGGATAAAAGTTCAAACATTATAAATTTTTATACACTGGGAATATAAATATTCCCTTCCAGACTCCTCCTCATCAGTTTCAGCAGCTACAACCACCTTTAAGAGATTGTGTGCCTCCTTTTAGCTATCTTACACATACGTGCATAAACATGGATGATACATGTCACCTGTGTTCTTTTAAAAGGAGATGATTTCAAATTGATTCATAACATTCATGTCCTGGGGCGCCTGGGTGGCTCAGTCGGTTAAGCATCTGACTTCGATTCAGGTCATGATCTCATGGTTCATGAGTTTGAGCCCCACATCAGGCTGTACGCAGATAGCTCAGAGCCTGGAGCCTGCTTCAGATTCCGTCTTCCTCTCTCTCTGCCCTCCCCTACTCACACCTGTCTCTCTCTCTCAAAAATAAATAAACGTGAAAAAAATTTTTTTAAAAACCCCAAAAACATTCATGTCTCTACTACTCCTTTGCTCCTCATCTCATTCCCTGGGATGGGAAAAGAGCTCCGTGGACATATTATAAAGTAGATGAAATTCTCCAAATTTTTAGCACGTCCCAATTTATATCTCCACTCCTAGGATGGACAGGAAGAAAAAAGAAGAAATTAAAAGAAAAAAAAAAAAAAACCTTATTTAAACACAGCGACCTTCCATAGAGCCTTTTACCTTATGAAAGTTAGCATAGGCACACTCATTCATTAAATAAGCCTTCATTGAGTGTACACTAAGGTCATACGATTAGTGACAAAACTGAGTCTTAACATAAGGGCTAACCATTGAGAGGAGCCACAAGATGGACGGGGCCTGAATCATCAAAAGGACAAAGCTACCCACTAAAGTAGAATGCATGCGTTGGCTTATTGTGTGAGCTGAGCATAAACACCTATTTTGAGCCATTATAAATGCTGTCGTCTATTTGTTTCTACAACCTGAACTATCATAACAAATGCACCAAATTGGACAAAAAGGGAAAAAAAAGTTTTCAGTAGATATCTGTAAATTGTGCTCTTTAAAATGAATATTTGTTTGGGGCTCCTGGGTGGCTCAGCTGGTTGGGCAACTGACTTCAGCTCGGGTCATGATCTCACAGTTGGTGAGTTCGGCCCCGTGTCGGGCTCTGTGCTGGCAGCTCAGAGCCTGGAGCCTGCTTCGGATTCTGTGTCTCCCCCTCTCTGCCCCTCCCCTGCTCGTGCTTTGCGTCTCTCTGTCTCTCAATAATAAATAAACGTAAATAAATAAATAAATAAATAAATAAATAAATAAATAAAAATGAATATTTGTTTTAAATATGTCCGGTCTCTTTAAATCTGATGATAAATTTCTGATTTTTTTAAACTGAATGCTTTAACTTTTCTTTTTGATATTTAAAACTCAAAACATTAATTTTAAATTTCCTACTTCCACAATAATCAGTGATATAGTTTTTTCTGGTTTATTGTAAAAATTTTAATTACAATGACAACTCCTATCTATCAATAAGAGACTTCCCAAATGGGAAGTTAAGAGAATGTGATTATGTTGAGCATCTATATTACAAACACATTTTGTCTTTGCTTTTATGTTTTATTTAAATATTTTTTTGTTGTTTATTAAGCTTTTTATTTTAATTCTTGGATAGTTAATACACAGCGTTCTACTGGTTTCAGGTGTGCAATACAGTGGTTCGGCAATTCCATACCTTACCCAGGGCTCATTGTGCCAAGTGCATTCTTAACCCCCTTCACCTGTTGCACCCCTCCCCTCTCCCATGTCCCCTCTGGCGACCATCAGTTACACAAACATTTTAAATTTTAGAAAGATCCCTTTCTTCTTTCCTTCCGCCATAAGGGTGGGTATATAACTGAAGAGCTATCAAAAATTTACACAATCATATCCTTCAACACGCGATAATTAAGTAAAAACTGTCATCAAATAAGAATACAAATCCCAATTCCAGTAACAAATGATTTCTTATTTATACTAAACACCATCCCTACCTCAGGAAAAAAAAATTTAAGACAGAATGAAGACATTTAAAAATGTAAACAAGGAAACATCACTTTGATTCTTGCACAGGAACCTGTACAATGTTACGAAAGTGGCTGTATTGATAGCAATTTTACAAAAGGTACAAAACGCTTCGCCTTAGACTATTTCGTACAGTAGCCCAAGAAAGCCACACAAGGCAGTTAACTTATCTCATGAAAGGGTAACTGCAGATGTTATCCTCATTTGCATATTAACTAGTCTTCCAAATAAGCTCCCAAAATTAATATTGATGGATGCATTCCTATTTGACCAAAATCTTAACCTTTTATTTCCTGACTTGTTTGTGATTATCATCTTTATTAATGTATACAAGAAGAATTTAATGTAAATTTGAGCTAAGTATAATGGCTAGGGGCCATTTAGTCCATCCTCTTACACAGTCTCACAGGACATATTGGACCTGCTCTGAAGAACTCATGGGAACTAATGTGTAAAGTAAAATAGAAAGTGGATATATTATTCTTGATAATAAAAATAACTGATGTACACACTGAATGTTCCCATAAGTATGGCCAACGCAATCTTCCTTTGTAAATGTACCTATTTGGAAAGCTGTATCATAATCAGAAAGAATCTTTACACAAGTAACAAACTCACAACCAGACAATAACAGAGGAAAGGACCTGATTTTTACCCACCACTCCTAGTTTTACCACGAGGAAACCCCTGCCTTTTCCCTGTTTTTGTCCTCCTGTGAACTGTCTGCATGTTATTTGAATCATCCCATCAAATTCTTGTTCGTTTATATCTTTTGTCTTGTCAATGCCACAAAGACTTTCCAATGAAGTTGTGCTCCCCAGTTGAGAGAAACTGTCTCTAGTCCTGTGAACAGCAGAGTGAACTGAATAGCAGGGCCATGGTAGCTAATGAGCCAAACGTTCTCATAGGTTAGGTTTTGGAGAGGCTGAGTACTCCCTGTCAGCAGCTGTACCTTTGATTTCTAATAAAAAGCTAATTTTACAGCAGGAAGCTCTCTCAGATGGTAGCATTAGACAAGTCAGAAGCATGCCTGGACTATTAGAGTAGGATGAAGGAAAGCTTTCAACAGTGCCTATAGGTGGGATTGGGATTGCTCATTTATGTACCAAGAGAATAGGAGGAGCATGGGAAGGAAGGGAGGGAGGAAGGAGGGAAGGGAAGGAAGGAGGAATGGAGGGAGGGTGGGAGGGAAATTTTGGTAACTAGAATTAGAGCAGTTTGTAAGCAATGAGCTAGCACAATCTATCTACCACCTGGACAAGACCATCCAACGTCCATTTGTCTTTCTGTGTGCTGCCCTCGCTCTCTTCTCTCTGCTTCCAGTACTAACAAATCACACTTTTGAATGACTCCTTTGATTTTGTAGCCATGTTCATGCCTTCAAACCACCATCGTAGAAAAGGGTAATAGTATTTAATTTATACAGAGTATTAACAGACAATATATGTAAAACTCCCAGCATGATGCCTAGCACATAAAAGGACTCAATAAAGGCTGGGTCAATTATCATTGCTAGCTTTAAAGGTGATACTCTTCTGCAAGGGGACTTCACTGATTTCTGATCTCTGCTGTGGTTTACTCTATGTTGGATTTTTATGGTTTAACTTTTTGAAGACAATGTTATTTCTCTTATTCTCAGGTTAATGAGGGTGGACACATCTTGTTGCCTCAGAGAACACTGACCCTTGCTGACAAAAATGGCTGTCCAGCCTATTCTTAAACACTTCTTATAAAATGAAGTTCATTCCCTCATAAGATAGGCAATTTATTTATTGAGTCACTAATTATTAGAAATACTTTTCTTATTGTAGAGCCAAACTCTAACCCTCTTTCTACTCACTGACTCTACTTTTGCTTCCTGGGAGTAGAGGGACACCCTCTTCATCATGATAGACCTGGCCCACCAATATCTGAACATAGCCAATATGTCCCTTCTGCCTTCCAAACTATAGAACTTCATTGCTTTTGACCATTCATCCTATGGCTTGGTTTCAGAAACCTGCAAGATCCTGGAAGATCTTCTCTGGACCTTCTCCAGTTTGTCAGGGTCTCCCTTCATATGTAACATCTCCAGAAGTGAACACAACCATTCAGATATGAGCGGGCAAATAAATCATATAGATGCCAAAAGATCGTATTAGCACATTTATGGCAATCCCATCTTACAACTAATTCCAAGTGCCCCTATAGTACAAGCACCTATATCATTTTCCTCTATCCTCTACTTAAATAGTCTGACTTTTAAATCATTTAATCCAGATAGGTATCATAGCAAACTCCCAAACCTGTCGCTAATATACAAATACATTACGTGTAAGTCATTACCATAAGTTCCCATTACCTCATAGCTCCTGATCAAATTTCAGAATAAGATTTAACTTCTTTGAGGTCAACACTTTTCTTTTTATTTTTTTAATTTTTTTTAACATTTATTTATTTTTGAGAGACAGAGAGAGACAGAGCATGAGCAGGGAGGGGCGGAGAGAGGGAGACACAGAATCTGAAGCAGGCTCCAGGCTCCAAGCGGTCAGCACAGAGCCCGACACGGGGCTAGAACTCACAAATCACAAAATCATGACCTAGGCTGAAGTCAGATGTCCAACCGACTGAGCCACCCACACGCCCCTGAAGTCAACACTTTTCATAAACGACCCAAAGTATCTGTGTAATTACCTATTAATGACATTTTATGGGGTAAGGACATCAAGCCCAACCATCTTGTTATGCTCCAAAGTCCATCTCACAATATAAATATAATATCACTCCTATTCTATTTTACTAAATCATATTGGGATGAGATGTCTTTAATATTTAATAGCAAGCTTTAAGAATCAGTACAGGGGCGGGGCGCCTGGGTGGCTCAGTCAGCTAAGTGTCCAACTTTC